TTGTCAGTAGAGTTTATATCTTACAGACCCAAAACACCTGACAATGAATTAATTCTTAAGATTTGATACACACTTACACTTTGAAATCACTTCATACCACAGCGCTACTACCTTATCCTAAAGCAGTTGAACTATAAAACTCAGCTGAAGCTCCAAATCAGTGCTTGTACACACAGAGCACTTTCATGATATGACCAGCTAGTTGGTATAGTAGGAAGAGTCTAAAGGTTGCTTTTGATCCTCTGGTTTGTATCCAGCAACAGTTGTACAAAAGGTTGAGTTATTAACTCTTCACAGGTCTGGAAATACAGCGGGAGAAGACATCTTACTGTGCAGATCACTGTCACTGCAGATAGCCTGCTAAGGAGCTAATTATACCCAAAGTTAGTTTGCAATTAAGTTCATTTCTGTAGGTCAGTTTGTAGGGCACAGAGTTTTAAAATGGAATAAACATATATGTGCCATGACTTTTTCCATAAAGAAAGAAATGAATAAAATGTTGACTTTTGCGAATTTTCTAGCGTAATGAATAAATACATGTTCACTTCAACACAATAAAAAAAGAAAAGCTACGTACCATAACCTATTTACAACACAGCTATAGTCCCTGAGTGCAAAGCGCTTAGCTCTAAACAACTAATCAGTCCCTTTCAGTTCAATGGGGCAAGTATGTGTATATGAGTGTTTACAAAATCAGTGCCAAAGTTAAAAATAATCCAGTAAATGGGACCTTTATAATAGAATGGATCCCTTTTTCATTTTAATTCTTTTATGGTAGTAATACCACTGACTTCACTGAAAACAGAATTCAATTCTGATAGTTTATTAAGACATGGGTCTTTAATCCACTTGAAAAAAATGTAAAAGACTGCAGAGTTCTGTCCTGCACTTGGTGCTGTTCAGTTTTTTAATATCGTGGATGATAGAATATTATATTTATTTTTATAAAATCAGTCGATGACACCAAACTGCAGGTGCTACAACTGCTTAGAGGGAAACAATTCAAAACAGACTTGAGTAAAATGGAGAAATTGTCTGATACCAAGAGCACAAAGTTAGCTGAAGGCCAGTACAAAGTATTAACTTAGAGAGGAAAAAGCAAATGCATAGTACAATGACTGTTTTAACGTGGGGTTGATAGTAGGCTACAGACTGTATCCTTAATACTTCAATGTTGGGGAAAAAAAAAAAGGCGGGGGGGACACACATCATTCCAGGAGGTATTACATAGGATATCATATATATGCCACATGACATTACTGTTCCACTTTTATACAATAATAGTTCCACTGGTTGCACTAATAAAGTCTCAGCTGGAGCACTCTGTTTAACATGGGGAATTAGACATCAATAAAGATGTCTATGAACTGTATATGAACCAGCACAAGTCCAAAGGAGAGCAACTACAGTAATTCCAGGTCTAGAACACAAGACTTAGGAGGACAGACTAAGTTAAATCCTTCTTCCTTTATTCTAGACAAGACAAAAACAGTAGAGGTAGGAAGATGCACGATAACAGTCTTTAAATTGATTACTTTTCATACATGGAGAAAAACTGATAAATACCTTGATCATATTTTATGTATTTAGTTTGCAGAAATAAGAATTTAGGTAGGTCTTGGAGGGAGCGGGAATCATTCTAGTGATGAGAACAGCAAAAATTTTAAGTGGTTACAAAAGGACACTGCAGAAATCACTATTACTAAGCATTTTAAAAACAGGTTAGACAAACATTTGCCAGACAACACATGTATATTTGATCTTAGAGTGTCCAAACTACCTCTCAAGGTGCCTTTCAGCTGTACACAAGAAAAGTTTTACTCAGACTTCATCTCCATAAACAAATTAACATGACTTATAATTAGCAGAGATTTTATACGCACTTTTCTGATCTTAGCTAATGCTGAACACTGATCTAGTTCTTATATTTCTGCCACACACAGAGTATAATAATTTCTAATTAATTATTGGGACGCTATCCCTATCCAGATGTTCACATACATATGAGATCCAAAGGATAGATTTAACACAGTAGATTGGTGACTATCCATACTGGAGAGACAATATTCCTGAAATATTAAGGAACAAAATATGACCTGTTTCACTACTAATATCTAGCAACAAGACCACAGTAGGCAGATGACACAGGTAAAGCTGTCTCGTATTGAACAAAGAACAAGCCACAAACCGAAGAAAGTCAGCCATGAAATGTGTGATCCCTGGGCCTCAAATCCTGTACTGACATATGTACCTTCAGTTTGATAAAAGAAGTTTCACCAAGTACTACTGCTCAGTACCTAAAATGTCCTCAATTATACAGGCTTCACAAAAGAAAGGCTTATTTTAACTCAAGAGCTCAATTCAGTAAACATGAAATAATGCCTGTGCCTAGTAGCACATTATTTACAATGGCTCTTTTCTTCTTCAAAATTATAGCACTCTATCCTAGCAAGCCATTATAATAGCAAAAAGTAATTTTGTAGTATTACAAGCAAACTGAAAATACCAGCACTAACAGAATTTTAAAAGTACATAATCAGGTTAAAAATAGAAAATGAAAACTAACATTTCCTCTAATTAGAATTACTTCTTAAAACACTATAAACTTCAATTAGGCTACTTTTCTGTTTTGGGGTTTTTCTTTTCTGCTGAGGTTTCTCTATTGCTTAGTAAAAAACACAGAACAGGATCACTAATCAGGAGGATACTCAGTATTTAATTTTATCATTTAATGTTACAAGCTGTAGTTTCACATTACTTACTGAACATCATCTAGATATTACTTTGAACAGGACATTTTGTTACATGCTATTGTATAAACCCTACTGAGGTATCTCTGTACTGTTTTTCACAAACATCAACAAACCAAATCCCACAACATAGTGTGAGTTGAGACAGTATCATGCCCCTTCTACAAACATAGAACAAAGGAATAGAAAAGGTGAGATAAAATAGTAATTTTGAGGAGTCTTATCTGCATCCCAGAGAGCAAGGATTGGTCCTGTTAATCACGACAAATGGCTGAATTTGCAGATTATGTAACATTATCTGAACATGTGCTTAGGACTGTTCCAAATCCAGACCCAAACACTGCGAGTTGGGCAGTGAAAAATTAAGACACACTGGTGTCGAGTTGTAAAAAGTACAGTTTAAGCACAAAATAGTTGTATTAACTATTTTCTTTGACAAACCAAGCAGAAAACCAGAAACTCTACCATATGTTTGAGCCTTTAAATCAATATAAACCTCTGCTACCTCAGCAAAACTGTAACCTGGAAGAGTGATAGGTTTTCATCTTTTGCATGGGCTAGCTACTAGAACACTGAATATACATTTATTTAGATATAATGGTTCAGACGTTTGACAGATATAATAGTTCAGACGTTTGACGAATGACCAAACTGAAGTCTCCTGGATTCAGCAACAGGTAACATTGTAGAGGCTATTTTACTTTCCAACCTGATGCATGTTATTCCTTTCCCTCTAGTTTTTCCCAGTCTTTTTCCTTCCTTACTCAGATTCTGCATCAGTCTTCCCAGAACGAGCTGCCTTAGAGCTAAGGCAGTTTTTGACAAAAAAATTCTTGATTTCAAGTGAGGGCTACCACATTCACTGCAAGTATTTCTGCCAGTGGGATAGACAGTTAGTCCTTCCCATTCTACTGTAGTGAATACACATACACACACACACCCCCCATACATATATGTCTGTACACATACTCACACACAAACACACATGTGTAATAGTTCAAATGATGTAATTAACATACTCAGATGTAAAAACCCTGCCTTTCAGAACTTTCTCTCTAAATTGTGCAGAGAACACATAATATAAATCCACCTCAAGTAAATCTGCAAAGCAAGCCAATTCCTGCTTTAGGATGCAAGCTTCTCTCTCTGGTTTGCAAATTTAAATACATACACACAAAATGTCTAGCTTTTGTCCCAACATTGAAGACTGAAAAGATCTTTATGTTTGAAACTGTTTCTGGCTCGTTTCTATAGTTTCCCTCTTTGCATTTAACTTGGGTTATTTCTTCGTGTTCACGATACCTAGGGATGAGTGGTGAAGGCAGTAAGAGGCAAGGCATGTCTTCCTGTTCCATCGCCTAACTCAAACTTGATGTCATCCCAGAATACAAGCAACAACAATAAAAGACAAGTGAGGCACCAGGGATCGCAAGTTGAGCACAAACATGGCTCAGTCATGCACTAGGATACCACAACTGAGAAGAGTGAGTTTTCTGCGTTCTGTGACCCAGAAAAAGAATTGAATGAAAATGGTACTGGTTCACTACAGATGAGCTTGGGGGAACAGTAGTGCCCAGCTCTGCCAAAGTTCTGCTTGAGCAAACAAAAAAAAAAAGGAATTTTCTCAAGAGCTTTCAACCCAGTAAAATTTGATGGGTTTCCACACAGATGCCCAAAAGCTCACCCTGACAAACAGTAAGCTTCCTGATACGTGCCACGACATACACTAATTCAAAGTACAGAAGGACTGTATCTTTCCAAATAAATTATTATAAGAAAATTTTAACTTAATCAAGAAATAATTCTCAGAAATATTTGGACTACTTTCACTAAAGTGTTGCAAAATAATCACATGCCAAGCGTTGAAAATTTCAACCACAAATGGGTAAGCTGGGGAACCTTGGAAGCAATTTGGAAAATTGTCTTAGATTGGGAAGTATTTGGCAATCTTAAATACAGCCATCTTAAGTACAGGCCTCTCTCCTAACAGGACATTGGCTGTAATACTGCAGTTTTATTCTGAACTTAATAACCTAAAAAAAAAAAAAAAAGCTTAAATAATCTAACAACTCTCCTTCAGATAATTTTTGTTAAAAAAACACAGCAAGAACTACAGAAAAAAACACACTCGCACATATCATTTGACAAACTGAATATAAATGAGGCTAGCAGATAAATAATTACCTGGAAAAAAACCAGTAACAACAAAAACCCCAAACAGTAGTGATAAGATAGTAAGTACAAACATACCTTGTCCTTGAGGAACTCCGTAAAATTCAGCAGCTATCCTTGCTGCTTCCTTACGGTTTCCTTTCACAATGTAGAAATGACTAAGTATAGCGAGGCTGATCTTCACAAAAAGTTTAAAACAAAAAAGGGAAAGTATAGTAAAGTAGACATTGGATAGCTGCTGGGCAAAAGGGCGACTTTCTTCTATGACAGTCATTGCTGCAGCAAAGTCTCTCTCAGTGTTTGGGTAGGGCTCTCAAATGTGTTGGTAAGATCATATGGCTCCAGCCACGCACCCTTGGGAACAACTGGTCCTGAGGAAAGAAAATATCAGCTGGTCATGATGCTTGCTGCTCAAAATATGACGATTATTTATACTGTACATAGTACTGAGTTCACTACCGCTCCTGCTAGCCTGGTGATATTGAAGTGGGACAGAATATAACAGACACAGGTTCCAAGACCCTGGATTGTACTCATTCCACTTAAAAGGTCTGTTTCACTCCAAATTCTGCATTTCTAATTAATTTATTTACCCTATTAATACATGTTTAAAAATACACTGTCAAAAGTACTATTATTAAGAACTGCAATTTCATGTACTAAAACAGGTAACTCAGGTAATCAGTTTTTGCTAAAATAAGTTCTCCTGCTTCTTAAGTACAGTTGCTCTTTTGTGGTACTTCTTTTTATGTTAGACTACTATTTTTTTCTTACAAAACTAGAACCACATCAGTAAATACTTGAAACACACATTAATAAAGAAACAGAGGTTTAACACGTACCAGCTTTGACAGTCTCTTATTATTTTGTTCAGGCTAAATGAAAATATCTAGTATACATGGCTTATAGCATTATAGAAAAAACAGTATTCAGAGCAGACTATAAAAATCAAACTCCTAGATATTTTTATAAATAAGATCTCGGAACATCTAAAATTAAATTAATTAAAATGTAATTAAAATTAAATAAATGTAATGGTAAATATACAACATGGAAAATTTCTAATGCTTATGATACACATTTCATTGTGCTGCATCATATTATTTTAAACCTATGACATGACAAGCTTTATTTCTTGGCCAGTTTTAGAGAGGGGAATCTAAATCCCTCAGATTTTTTAAGAATTAATTTGCTTATATGCCATAAAGTTATTAGTCATAGTCATCAGCAGTTACGCACAAATTGTTCCATTAGTGTGAGTAATTGCTGAGTAAATAATGGTGTCACAACATGATACCAACTGAGGAGCTGCAGGACAGATCTAGATTCCTAAGTAAGATATAACCCTAAAATAAAGAATCCTGGCAGCATAGGAAAGGGTTCTGTTCTAAACTTTTATATTTCCTTTTAAATAAAAGAAATAGTGTCTTTAATTACAGTTTAAAATACTCTACCCATAGCAATCTTAAACTGAAACACCCTTTCTATTCTACCCTGGATTCTCTTGTTTGACGGTAAGAAAAAAACATTTTAGAATGTTGGCAACTGTCCATCAGGAACAGAGGGTATGATCCAAATGTCACTGCATCCACAGATCCCCCTGACTTCAATGAACAGCATAGCAGACATTAAGGCTATGATATAAAATCATATTTCTGAAAGGAATGTGGCAATATAAAGAACCTCTTATCATCTGCTGCAGAAATAATTTATTAGAGTAAGAACCTATAATGTTTTCTGGAAACTACATTCAAATAAACCTATATAAATGAAGAAAAGAAAATGATAAAAGGAAATGTGCTTGGAAATAAATATCAAGATTTTTAACAGACAGGAGCTGAATTGTGCGTATCTTGAGAGAAACAGACATTCAGTCTTTTTCTTTGAAAAAAATTTAATCCACATAAAAGTCAAAACAGTAACTAGAAAAGCTAATTAAAAAGCAGTTTATACTGTAAACTATATTAGTCTGTGAAAAAACATATGCATTTTCTCCTAAATTTCATTTATAGACATTTTCTCATACAGCCAGAATAGGAACTGCCCTCCTCATACCATAGTTAGAAGCAGGAGTGAGTACTTAAAATGCCAAATGAAAATCCCTTTTTATATTTGGCACATTGTTATCTGACACTGAATTGAAGTGTCATGTTTTCCAGAAGGATAAATAGGCATTATGTTCTGAGCTACTACTGCCATTTTCCGTTTCAGTCATTAATAGAAATGATATTTTCCTTAGTAACACATCCAATATTGGAATCTCTTACTTCTTCCATATTTCTATTAGTACTGTTAAGCTTAACTCAATCAGTCTACAGAATTCCCCAGCCACCTCAAGTACCTGTTTTGCAAATTTAGCATGCAGAATAAGGAAGAATCGTAATTATCTCACGGAAGACATTCTTCTTCTTTATAGTGTTTTACCTGACCCCTTTTTTTCCTGACTCCACATTGTATCAACCAGTAACTGTGCTTTCTCATCTGGGCTTCTCCCACGTTTTGTTAATTAACAAAATAGTCTTTCTTTGTAGAGGCAAAAGTCCAAATAGCAATTACTATAAATAACAGCTGGAGTTAACAGCAGCGCTCAGAGTTAATCTTCCCTTACAATGCTTCTTCCTGCTTCTTATAACTGCAGTAGATAAATCACTGAAAAGAAATTTCTCAGTTATTAGGTTGTTTTCTTCAGGTTGAATTTTCCAGTAAAGGCTCAACAAAATAAGAAAAACCTTTTCAAAAACAAGGCATGTAATATTTTGCAAGTGATCTTTCAAAAATGCTCATTGATCTGTAAAACTTCTGCTTTTAGAAACAACATGAAAACTGAGCAGGAGGATTATTCCCATATCAAAGCTTGTCTTCTGTCCTCTCAAAAATTTCCCTCCTTAGCTATGAACTACATAAAAATGAAAGAAATTATGAGTTTTGAGAATATCCGTTCACACATGCTCATAAGAAGCTGGCAAAATTACTCTCCTAATAATATTTCTTCTTTTTTAACTCTCTATAACTCATATGTGCCAGCTTAGGTGGAAATTCTCCCAACTGCACAGAACAACCAAGTTTATCCTAATCTAAGGCTACTAAAGCCCTGCAGAAATTGCCATTACAGCTTGTTGGCAAACCCATGCTATCAGGCACCCAGTCATGAAAACAGAACAACTATTCAGATGTTAACACTCACACGGCATTTTGGAAGAATCAACAATGTGAATACTCAGACTTGAACACAAAATAGGTGAAAGCAAGCCCATGCAGACTGGGAGAACCAGGAACAGAAAGCTACAGATGTTGTAATGGAAATCAGAAAGTAGAAGCTAAGTAAATAAATAAAGGATCTGACAGTCAATGTGATGCCATGAGAGAGTGTAAAAAAACTGGCATGTAAGTGTTCCGAATTTTCTATTGCACGGCAATGTGAAGCGATTGGAATGTGGTCTCGCAGCAGTGCAGAATACTGAGAGCTTCCAAACAGAAATGCATCAGCAATATGTAACAAATACACATTATAAAAATATCAAAGCAGTTGAAAAGAGCAGTGGCTTAGTCTGGACATTCACATTTCCTGTATGGTTTTGACTTTTGGGAATGAAATTTCTCTGCTTCATTCCCTCACTTGTAAAATGGGTTTAAAAGAACCACTCAAGAGGAGTATTCTGAAGATGACTTCATTGCTGTTAAAAAACCACTCAGATATTCTCGTGAAAATAATACTGAAACTAATTAGGTATCTAATAATTTTTCTTTTAATACAAAGTTTGGATACAAACCTAAATAAAATGAAGTATTGAATATTCATATCCCATAAAAGGGATAGCATGTAAAATTATTATAACATTTAAGGTTTTTTCATAGCACACAGGAAAATGGCACTAAGCTACACTGCAGATAAACAATATTAGGATTTTTGTTTTGTTTTAAGAACATAGCAATACTGTGACAGACAAGGATCCCCCTAGCTTGACATAGTAGCATATTCCCAGCAAATAAAACAAGAACTATGTAATCATTTCTCTGGTATGCTTTCCCCATTTCTGGCCATTAACTATTCCAATTTTAAAACCATTTTAAAAACTTCAAATGCTAGAATTTAGGGTCTTAAATTCCCTTTTAAGGTAGCTTGGTCAGTTATCATTTCTAAAGAACATAACCAGTTTATTCAAGATAGCAATATTGCCATTTATAATGACTATAGAAGTGGTTAATTTCAAATTCCAGTTCTCAAAGTAGCCTGCCCTTTAATGCCTTACTGTGTAGTGGCCAAGTGCAGAAAGAAAGTATATTCAGCAGCAGCACCTGTTTATGCTAATTCAAACTGTTCGTGAAATCTAGTGCAAATTACCCACAACCTAAGTGAGTAACTTTTAGAAAAAAAGTATGCTCCATCTCCTATGATTAATTACATAACCACATTAATAAACTCTTCATTTTTCCTCAACACTTTATAAGACTGGTGTGCTTAATTTTCAGTAAGGCAAGATACACAAGAAAAATAACACAATTGATATAATATTTAGTCTTTGAAGGCATTTTTTAATACTAAAGACTGTAAAACCCTTAGAAATACGATTTCTTTATAGCATATACTGTGTCTTTAGTTCTGGAAAATATACTTACTTCTAATTAAATCTTTTACAGTAATATCCTTAAATTAGATTAATATAGGCTGTAGAAGAGTAATTATACTCATGGCACAAATTCTGTTACAGTTAGTCTTAACAGTTTTCTTCAGTATTTTGGAGATGTATCTAAGTGTCTGAAAGTGAAAATGTTTTTTTAAAGACAAGATATGCAATACAGTATAAGGAATTGTTTGTATGACACTTAACCTGCATGTCCTTCTCCACATATAAGAGATTTGGCTAAAAATACACAAGAAGTTAAGATAGTCATCCTGGTTTTGAATCTTCTGGCTAATAACAAATAGAAGATAATTTAATGAAATAGGATGCCAGGCAGAGGAATGGGAACTCTTAGGTGCTTGGAAGAATGCATTATTTTATACCTTATAGACAACCCACCAGGAGAAATTTCTAAAGCAATGACCTCAAAACAGAAAGAGCTTAAAATAAAATCAGTAAGCCAGTAGTTCTAGTACCAAGTTTCTGATGTAAGCATACAGTGCTTGATGAAGGATGAAGGACTCAAAAATGCTGAGAAGCCCAAGCTACTAAAAAGGCAATGTCTAATTCAGCATGAAAAATGACCTGCTTAGTGAGCTGCTGACTTGTATTTTAATAGGTATATGGGATGCTAATCCTCAATACCTAAAATTTTATCTGACTCATCTAAAGTTACTGAATGTTGTCTACGTAATTTCCTCCTTGATGTATGTTCTTTAAGCAATTTTTTCTATTATTGTCTATTGAAAGCATTTGAACTGAATAAATCTAGACATAGAGCAACTATTTTAAAATGCATTTGCTCATATATGTTGTTATGCAAAATGTTAACTTAAGTTAACATTAAAGGGAGGGGAAAAAAAAGACAGACATACCATAAAACAATTTTAAAAAAATATTAAATGTTCTTTTCAGTAATATCCTTCATAAGTTAAGGATATTATGCATCTATGCTCAGGCACAGAAAAACAAACAAATCATATTTATCTGATAGCTCAAGAAATTCAGAAATTGAAGTGACTGGAAGACATCAAACAGCTGCTGAGTCCTTTTCCAAACAGGAACTCAAGCTCATTAGCACAACCCAGACACTACTCTTTCTTTGTAAAATATGGAGAGATGCCCGAAGCACAGACTTTGTGCTACTGTTTTGGGGGAATGAAAAGAAGAAAAGTGAGAGAACACAAACTTTGGTCCAGAGTAGACCAAGCTTGGTTCAGATCTGAACTGCTTTTTCACTGCACCTTGTTGCTATCCTTAAAAATTCTACAGACTTACTCGACCACATGACAAAGCCATATTCTCAGCACAAAAACCTGAGAGTTGTGTTGCCAACTGAAGCAAACACAACACTGTAAAACAAACAAATGAAAGGCCTACATCTCCTTTTTACAGCTTTTCTTCCTGAAGTATCTTAATGCCATGTCTATCCAGAATCTACACAAACAATGCAGCGTGAAGTTATAACTGATATCCAAAGTTCGTTTTATTCATATTTCTGCAGTTCTCATAGTTCATGCTAGGCTCCTGATCACCCAGCTAAAGACTTTAACCAAAAATCTCTTGCAAAATGCAAGAGACATCTTAAGTGTCGTAACGGGAAAATCGGAATAAGTGTCGTAAAACATGTTACCCTCCTCCTCTTAGCAGTCATGCTCTAACTTTTGACACTCATTCTACTGAACGGCTATGTATTTAGACACCATTCCTCTTCTCTCATAAGACTATGAAACTCATTTAAAAAGCTTTAACTCATTTAAAAAGCTTTAAAAAATTATCTTATACAAGTTTTGTTACATAAATAGTTTCTTTCTGTATTTTGGTGTAGCATATTATTTCCATCAGTTCTCAAACTGCTCCAGAAAGTCCAAATTTATGCCTTTGGGTGGATACGGTAGTACTTTTTTTTTTTGCGTCCGCTGTATTAAAATCAGTGCTCTGAATCAGTTTTGGTTCTATACAAATCAAGTTGTTCTGTAACATGAATGATGCAACCTTTCATTTGTAGCATCATGAAAAGTTTGCTTATTCCACTGCTAACTTCTAATGAATTTAAATTGGCTTTATTCAGGTGTTTTGTGTTTCCTGCCTTTTGAAAATACTACTCCTATCTTAGAAAATAGTTCTAACATACATTCTAACTTGCATATCTGGATTTCCAGAGGATGGACTTACTGGTCAAGGATTTAAATATCAATCAGTATCTCTAGACATAACAGACATTCTCTATATTACATATATTTAAAAACATAAAAAGTAACTCAGATATTTAAGCAATTATGAAATTCCAGTTTTCTAACTTTCTCAGTTCTTTGAAAGAATACACAGAAATTTTAAAGCTGTATCACTTTGTAAAACACCCACTGGATAGCTGCTTCTCACAATGGTGATAGATTCCACTTCAACTACAAGTCTAATATCAAACAATCCCTGCTATCAGCAACATTATCATATAAGCATGCTTGATCTGCTTAATCAGTCCATCTAATCACTGACAGTAAAGTTCTATACAGAAGGGAAGCAGGTATAACTGACCTGCTTACAAGTAAATTCAATCTGAGTTCTGCTAAGAAACATAGTAAGTTTGTCCTACAGTATTTGTTGCAGTCCTCTTCGGATACCTAACACAACCCAATTGTTAAGAGTATTATAGAAGAAGATTCCAAAATAAGTCATGTGTATACTTGGAGACATTACTAAAACCAGAAATGTATCAGGAGGCACACACAGACTGTTGACAGATAAACTCTAGCAAATCTTGCCCCTCAGGCGTTTAAAAAGTTACCACCTCCAGCTGCCCATTCCATTCTTCAGCTAAAGGTTCCTGCCCCTCTTTCTCCCTTCCTGGAAATCAACAGGACAGAATATGTATTGGTATTCAGCCACTTCAGTTCAAAATCTGGCAATTTAAACTGCTGATGAGTTTAAACTAACCTTTTGGACTTCATGCTGAAAAAAACACTCACAGCCCCTACCACCCATTCTGCTATAGACATAGTAACCTCCTGTTAAAAAGCAGTAGCAAACTATGAGGGGAGAGTAATGTCAAAATGCACATACAAGCTGCCTCTTAATAA